TATACCAGCTGAAAAGATCGAAATCCTTACTTAAAGTTGTACACCATTTTTCCCTCAAATTGTACAACCTTTTAAACCATCTGTTGTTTTGTAGCTTATATTTCTCTATCATGTCATTCCAGCATGTCTGAAATTTAATCATATAATATTTTAGTTGCTAATGTACAGGGATAAATTATAGGGTTTAGTTGGGGTTGTTTAAGAATTAAGAGGTTACTTAAGAATTAAGGGGTTGCTTAAGTTTTTAGGGGTTAGTTAAAATTTGATAATAATTAAGAATTAAGGGGTTACTTAAATTTTTAGGGGTTACTTAAGAATTAAGGGGTTACTTAAGTTTTTAGGGGTTACTTAAAATCTAATAATAATTAAAAATTAAGGGGTTACCTAAGAATTAAGGGGTTACTTAAATTTTTAGGGATTACTTAAGTTTTTAGGGGTTACTTAAAATCTGATATTTTTTCTTAATTTAACATAACACATGACTCAGTCATAAACACATAATTATTAAACACATAATTATTAACCCAAATTTTAAATAAGGAGTTACTTAAAAATTAAGAACTAAGGGGTTACTTAAGTTTTTAGGGGTTACTTAAAATCTGATAATTTATAAGGGTTAATTAAAATAAGGGTTACTTAAGTTTTCTGTGACACAACCAGAAAGGCATTTGTTGAAGGCATCTTTGAATGTTGTATCCCTTTTTAAGGCTCAAAACCTTGATACAACATTTTTTATTAGATGTCAAATACATAATCTGTGTCTCGATAGAGGAAATACCTGCAAAGTATTAAAATAGAGGTTACTTAAGTTGTGACATATTCATGGGTTACTTAAGTTATAACAAAAGGTAAGGGGTTACTTAAGTTGTAATAAAAGGTAAGGGGTTAAGTAACACCCTAGAAATTCCTTTCCTTTAAAAGAACTATTTTGCCCTTTTTTTTTGTTTTGAAATACGAAATAGGAAAATCTAAGACATTATCACCACCGTGGAAACGGCTAAGGCAAATATCCAAAGACACATGGCGGAAGACTTTCTTTAAAACCATTCAAAACAAGTCAACTTAAAAGTCAAACCAAACGAAAGTAAAATCAAACAAAGTCAACCTACAACTTGGAACCATTGTAGGCCTTAGAACCAAACAATACCGAAAACCTTTGCTTTAGTCTCATTAGCATAATAAAATAAATAATATTCAAAGCAAATAAAACACATCATATTCCTATTGAAACTAAGCATGATTCGCTCTTCACTCATGCCCACCATGAAAATGCTTCATCACCTGAAAAACTTCTCTCTACTTGTCCCCACTACTCGCCATTAGAAATTGGTCGTCGTAAGGCCAAGGTAAAGACAAGGCCAAACAAACACACAACACACAACCAACAATGCTGAGTACATAAGCGTAATAAAACACACTAACATGCTTCCATCCTATCATCACACAACTTACCTTGTTGCACCTGTAAACAAGCATACAAAACATTCAACACTTAACTAGACAAATACCAATGTCCATTTAATTTGATTACGCATCGAACGGGTTTTCCCCTAACCTGCTCCAGTAAAGGTGTACTAACACGGGAATTAACCGTGCCAGTATAAAATAACCACTCGTAAGTGGCGGAATTCTTGCGCATAATAAAAAGGAATATACAGCGTCCTGTACTCCCAGTAGAAGTTATGGTCAAATATAAAGTCGCATAACTCCCCCCCCCATATGTTCATACTCAAGGTATATACGTTCCAAGAGTTTTGGTGCGTAATCTCTTTCACTTTACGTTGTTTACATATTTTTAGACTTGGTGATGACTCTCAAACCATAATACAATCAATCACTATAATTCATTCAAGCAATTAGACATACCAATTTAATTCTTGAATAATTAGTGACCACATAAATTTGAATGTTGAATCCTTTTTCAACTACCTCGGTGTTAAATAACTCCTTAAGCACATAAAGCACCACAAATCCTATCCCTCGGTGTTTAGAACACCTTAAGTGCACTTAGGCACCAAAATATAATTTAATTCTCGTGTACATAGACACTTAAATAGCTCCTTCCTTATGTTTATAGCATCAATAAAAATTATATAAACCATAATAAAATTCATTTTTAATATTCCAAACCAAATTAAACACTTAGTTTAATTAAACATGCTCTCAATCATGCCAATAATAAAATTTGGTTCATATTTAACATGCCAACATAATTAATTCCAATCACCAATTCATCACAATTAATTCATACGTCACAAATCACTCACCAACATCAATCCAATCAACAAACTCCAACCAACACCTATCATAATACTATGTGGAATTGATTTATCAAAGCCTAGCATGCTTCTACATATTCAAATAATTACCAAGTACGCGAACGTACCTTGAATATGATCTCAAAATCGCCACGACTAAATTAAGTCACTTACTTGGAATTCTCCTACAAACCAAAATTACAAAGAGGCATTAATACCTATTCCACACAAATTTCCAGCAATATATACACTCCTTAAATCACTCATAAACCCTCTAAAATAAGCTGAAATTTACTTTAAAACCCTTGATTTTATCCCCAATTAATGGGTAATTAAAAATCCTTTCAAGAAACATAATTGTAGCTTATATACAAAAATTTCAGCTTTATTAAATAATCTAAAATTGCTGTAATTGTGTTTTAAAACACTTATTTCAATAATTTAAATCACCCATAAACAATTTTCATCAATATACATAAACTTAGAAACCTAGGGTTTATAATTTGGGGCTTTTTAATTTAAAATAACCAAATCTGAAAATTTATATACAAAATACTTATTATCAAACATCACAAAAATCATCACAAAACTCAAAAACAATAATTAGATTAAGGGTGTATTGAATTAAAAATCAAAAAGAAGATTTTTTTTATTTTTATTTATTTATTTATTTTTATACAAAACACACGTACGCACAAGTGGGAAAGGGAGGATGGCTAGCGCCACCTCCCACGGCTGCTGCTGCTGCCGGCTCTGTAGTGGTGGTGGCATTCGGCCACCGTGGTGTGTGTGGTGGTGATGGTGAAAAAAAATTAAAATTAAAATAAAGGGGAAAGAAAATAAGAAGAGAGAGAGATAGTTTACCTTTGGGTATTCTCCACTTTGGGCAAAGTTTTGATTTTGTTCAAATGATGGGTATTTACACCCTCTCTCAATAACTCTCCTACTTAAAATTCCTTTACTACCCTTAATGATCCCTTTTGTACTCAAACTAGTATTTTGAAATACCATTGACTAAAAAATTTCCCTTTATAAAATAATATGCCCAAAGTTTCCAAATCATGAAATAAAATATTTTCAAGATTGTTAAATAATTAAAAATAAATTTTTAATTAAAATAATCCTTTTTAAATTAATGAAACACCATAAATAAATTCATTTTGAATTATTTAAATACTTTAAGAAATAGTAATTTAAATTAAAAATACGTATAAAAATACGGGGTATTACAACAATACTTACATCATTTCATAATAGTCTTTAATAGATATATTGTGATTAATCAAGCAACAAATTCACTTTACATATTACTAATTCAATATTGTCAAAGGACTCAAAGCTATTGTAAAGAATTTTGCAAAGAGTCAATATTTCTTGTTTCAAAAAAAAAAAATAAAAAAAAAAAATTAAAAAAAAAGGTCAATATTTCTGGAGATGAAGGGAATCCGCGAATAACTTATAATTTGGCGACAAGTGCAACATCACTCCAATCAAGGTACTAAACCCCCTTTACCATTTGAGGCCTTCCAAAGGGAGGTTAGTGAGGTATAAGTAAATGCATAACGAAGGACATGATGGTCATTACACGTAAATGCATATTCTGAATTTAGAATAATACCATTGGATGATCAATAGTATCACTGGATAATCAAATAGTACTATTGAACATTCAGTGGTATTATAAATGTATGTAGTGGTACTATATATTCATTCAGTGGTACTAACTCTGTGTATAAATAGTATCACTACATAGTCAATGGTCTTATATAAGCTTCCAGTGGTACATTTAAAAGTGATCTCACATACCCATCTCTCTTCTCCTTTCTCTCACAGCCACGTTGTCACGTGCCGACTGCTTTGCCCTAGTCACGCACCGTGCGCCACCCGCTTACAGTCCGTCGTAAGCCGAGTCAGGCTTTCTCCTTGGCACTAACTCCTTGTACCCACGTAGCACAACTCCTTGTGCTGTTAGTATAAGTTTGCTAGTACGATCCCTTTATGCTAACAAGTCCCCTTTAGTTGAATTAAGCACTCACCCTTAGTGCCTTAGTCCGAATTTACGACTAAGTGTCGTAGACAATTGAGCCCCCAAGCTATCACCCTTGCTGGTATGCCCGATCACTCACTTGGCAACCTCGTGCCTTAGTTTTCCTCACACTCTCTAAGTGTTGGAAGGAAAGGATTGAGTTGCAAGAGAACACAAGTGCTTAAGAAAGGCTTTTTGTATTGCTCTCAACTTGAATGTACAAATGATGCCTTGGAGCCTATTTATAGTGCTCCACCCTACTTACTCTCTTTCTCTAGAACGTTCCTAACCTCCTCAAATGGAGGGTTCTAGACTACAACAATCTAGAGTGTTCCCACCTCCTTAGGAACTACATACATGGAGGTTTCTACAAGCTTCCTACCTAGAATGCTAAGGACTAACCTAGAACATTCTAGAACTTTACATTCAAAATGTACATACATAGAAGGCCCTAGAGACTTCTAAGATGCACTGGATGAACCTTGAATATTCTAGAGACATCCTCTCTAGAATACTCTTCCAAAAGAACTCCGTAGATAGCTCCGGAACCTTCTAGAAGCTTCCCACGTTTCCCGGGCTACCTGCTGCACAAACTTGTATTTCGGGACCTTGTCTCAGAAAACTGACACCACCATCGTCTTCCTTGGCCCAAAATACGGTGGACCCCCAAATTTAGGCCCATTTGGACTTCATTTGGGTCTCCCAACGACCCATTATTGTGTTACTGTCAAGTGCGTGTTCACTAGGATTCTAAGCAAGGTGCAATATAAAGCTCTTTAGGGGGAAGTGCTTACCTGAGCACCAAGGCAAGCCCCCTAGCCCCGATTGTTGCCTTGCTGCCTAGTGACCCTCTTGACGCCCATCCTTGGTGTGGGAGATGACCCGTGACAACGTGCTTTTCAATATTTTAGTATTTATTATGCATAACTAACCTACATTAGTACTTCCTCTTTACCATTTTCCATCCACTTTCTTCTTGTTCAGTCTGATTCTTCTGTTTTCCAGTCTCCAACAATGGATTCCAGTGAAGAACTCTGCAAAAGCTCCAATCTTTTCGATACCCCATCTTCCCAAATTCAATCCCTTCTCTCAAACCTATCGCTAACAGGTGATTCAACCCCAGAGCAAAATATCACAACTTCGTTGAGGTAATTTCCTATACTTCTTTAATTTTTTGAATCGATCTCATAGTTTATGTTGTTCTCTTATGTATGATGCTTATTGAACTCCAAACATAGAAAATCTTTAATGTTGATAATTTTTTTTTTTATACGTAGTATAGTCTTTTATCATGATGTATGTTATATGCTAATTTAGGCGAATTAGTGTAGAAAGATGTTGCGTTTGTTAAGAAATACAGTAATTATCTAGAGTATTTCCATAGATTTGAACTTTAGATTCAAATTGACAGTGCTTCCTAAAAGTGGTTTAGCATACTATTTTATTTTTTTACACTATTCACTAACACATTGATTGACTTTTATAATTTATAATTGTCATAAAGCATTATCATCATGTGAGATCTCATTAGAAACGTCTCAATGTAAATTTTAATACTCCGTAATATTCTTTACCTAATTTTATTTATTACAAGTAATAATTTAGAGATATTAATAGTTGAAATTGTGTGTTGACAAACGGAAAATAAAGTGTTTGCAACGGATATATTGAAAAATATGTTGTTGGATTAGTTGTATACTTTCAGAATACAAGTATCAATTTTTTAATTTTTACAATTAATTAATGATAATTAGAAATTAATGGTCAAAGTCGGTCTTAGAATTTATATTTGGTAAAAAATGTAACACTTAATACATAATAAAATAGAGGGAATATTGAGGTGTTTGGAGATTAAATTATATTACTTCATTTCATTTTCTTAGTGTGGATGTTGTTTGATTTGCATGACTGTCTTTTGGATAAACGGGCCGGAGGCTACAATCCGATGATTGATTATTATCATAAGAACCCCAAAGAAAAGAACGGGAATATGCAAATCCGTAGGCAGGATAACATATTTGCAGACTAAGAAGTAATGATGTAGTTTGATGGTAGCTTAGTAATATTTCTTGTGAAGATTGTATTTTGATTTATTTTGAAATTTTTATTACTTTGTGGATTTTGATTGACATGGGTCGTAGGTGATCCAAGAAGCGCTTAGACTTGCCTGTTGGGTTTAACTGAATTAGACTTTAGACCTCCTTCAATATCACATGCCTGTCTCTAGCTTCGATGTTGGCTAACTTTGAAGTTTGTTGTTGGAGTAGAATATAGATGCTAATGAAGAGGATGCTGATATGTTATCTACCATTAGTATGCTTAAGCTTCTGTTTTACAACCCGAATTTCACTCTCAATATGGTTTGAGAAAGATTCTTCAGAACTAAATCGAAGTTTCTGTAGAATACCTTGCCTTATGCTCTATTATATTTGTTAATTTGCAGCCTTTTGCATTCATGACTGTGGATATCACTTTGATTGACTCAGCTGTAAATCTTGTTGAACAAATTGCATTAACACTCGATGTGTGTCATCTTGGACTGCATATGGTCTAGGATTGGTCAAGTTCTTTTTCACCTTGAATTTTCTACCTCTTCTTTTATCTTCTTTATAGTTGTTTGAAGATTATTGATTAGTCTTTTGCCAGTACAATGCCTCATTGCCCCATTGGAAATTGCTCTCGTAAGAGTACCTCACCCCCCCCCCCCCCCCCTACATACCTTTATATTTAGAATGTCTTTCAATGAAGTGATTAACTATGTATTCTAACTTGCGGGCTATTTGGAATTGGAAATTGGTAGAGTTATTGGAGATGTTGTGGATGCCATTGATAGTCCTGTGACTCTCAACATAAGCTATAACAATGAAATTGTTACTGATGGATGAAATTCTTTATCCGCACAACAATATTCATAGAATCTAAATGGCGTTCGTCTTACCATGTCAGCCTATTAATTTAAGTCCAAGACTCCAAATACATGCTTTTGAATTTTCCTCGTATAATTTTGTATTCAATTATGAGTTTATTGGCTGCATTTGCAGATCACCAATTATTTATTAGCTGCTTGCTAACAGTTTATATTTTGATTGAATAAAGGCTGGTGACTGATATTCCCGGGACCTCTGATGCATCCTTTGGTGAGTTTCCTTAACAATTAGTTCAACTCTCCAGTTTGCCCCCTTCCCCATCTAAATTTTTTTAAACTACTATTGGATGAAATTCTGGAACAATTTCAGATGCAGTATTGGATGCTCATTTAACTCATGTTTTCACTTCATCATGCTGTCTTTCGTTGCAAGCATTAAATATGGTGCGCCTAAGAGTATTGCTGATGGTACTCCCAAACTGGCTACCACTTGCACTAACTTCGTGATGCCGCGTTTGCCTTGCAGCAGGCCAGCATGAGCATGGTTTCTGGTGCATGAAATAATCTCTGTTTTTGTTGCTTAAATCATCTTATTAGGCCAAGATGCTTACATTGGAGAGAAATATCTTTGCAATCTGATTTTCCTATATGTTTGAGACCACAATTATGAAAATATGGTGGAAAAAGGAAATACTTCGTAGTTGTTTATTTAGCTTGTTGAACTAAACAACCTAAGCAGGTTTCCCTTTGTGACTGCACCGCATGCACCAAAATTGTGTGACATTCACTATTACATATAGTTCAAGAGTGCGGACACCCATAAGTGAAGAAACTAATATACTGCATGCAACCAACAAGATGTGGTGCACGCAACACAATAGGGGTTCATCACATGGTTCCATGAGTCCCCCTACATATGTGCTCTCAATTACTTATTGCATTGAATGATCAATAGTCACTCGGCTTTTACTTTTTTGATTTCTTTGTTTAGGCGAAGAGGTTGTTCCGTATGACAGCCCACAACCATCACGGGAGATACATCGAATTGTATTTGTGTTGTTTCAACAAAAGGGAGCGCAGACTGTTTATTCTCCTGGGTGGCGTCAGAATTTCAATACAAGAGACTTTGCTGAAGTCTACGATCTTACGCCTGTTGCTGCTGTCTATTTCAATTGTCAAAGGGAAGGAGATTTGGGTGGAAGCAGGTTGTAAGATCCACATTATATTGAGCTCTCAATGCTTGCAACTCCTTCATCTTATAATTAATTAGTACTTCATCCATCCCATAATAAAGTGTTTGTATTTCTTTAGGAGTGTCCCAAAGTGTTGTCTAAAAGTAAACATATAAAGTATAGTTGGAGACTATTATTGTGCCTATATATTATTAAATAATTACTCCCGCTCACTAGTTGGCTGTGAAAGCCAGACGACAAGAATTTCTTTTTTGTTCCTTTTAGTTTTATTGGTTTTCTGTGTTTTGTTATCTTGTAAAAAAATAAAAAAAAAATTAAAAAAAAAAATAAATTATGGAAGATAGGGACAATTATATTTTGTTCAAACCAAAGCTAATGGATGAACAACGTTTTTTTGGTACAACACGCTGCACCATGCGGCATGTTGCCAAGTCAGCATAAATAACGGGATTAACGCGCGCATAACGGGATTTATATACACGCGCTTTTCTTTCCCAAAAAAACAACTTGAAACCAATAAAAAGCTCCAGCACGAATCCCTAAACCCTAAAAACCTACAAAATACATTTTTATGCGACGATCAATTCAAGAAAACAACCACCAAAATTTCAACTCGATTAATTCGACCTAATATCGATCGATTTTTTCCCAGAAATTTCAACTCGATTAATATGATAGAAAATTCACAAAACTTACCAGATTCACAAGAATCAACGGAGATCGAAGAAATAGGAGATTCATTGATGAATCTAGAAATCGACATAAATGAAGAATTTGATGTAGAAGACGAAAACAGATGTAGAGAAATCGAAGTATCTAATGTCAGCAATGAATTCCAAGGTAAATAAAGTAACCCCTGTAAGTAATCAAACTTGAAATTTTTAATAAACTAAAAAGTAGCCGCTGATTATAGTAACCCAACCCTTATTTTTAAATAACCTATTATAACTTAATTAACCCCTGATTATATAACATATAACCCTTGTATACTTTAATAAGTAATATAAGTAACCCCTGTACATATATTGTAATAGTAACCCAAGTAACCCTTATTTTTAAGCAACCTCTTATAACTTAAGTAACCTCTTATTTGTATACTTTAATAAGTAACTCAAGTAACCCCTGTATATATATTGTAATAAGTAACCTAAGTAACCCTTTATTTTTAAGTAACCTCTTACAACATAAGTAACCCCTGGTGTTAAAAATTCTTATAACTTAAGTAACTTGTTATTTTTAAGTAACCTCTTATAGCTTAAGTAACCCCTTATAATTATGACTAAAGTTTAATCTAAGTAACCCCTTATCACTTAAGTAACCCCTTATAATTATGACTAAAGTTTAACCTTAAGTAACCCCTTATAACTTAAGTTACCCCTTATAATTATGACTAAAGTTTAACCTTAAGTAACCCCCTATAACTAAAGTAACCCCTTATAACTAAAGTAACCCACTGTGTATTGTAACAAATACATACTACTAATTTTAATTTACTTTTTTGCAGAAATAAATACAACTATTACAGAACCAAGTCATAGTACATTGACAGAAGAAAGTGGAGTTCAAGATGAACTTCAACTAGAGAATATTGCTGATTTTGCAGGAAGTCTAGTAGGATTTACAGCAGCAACTTTAAATGAAATTTATGATCAATATAAGCTTCATGCTACAATTATAGAATTTAGTATAAGAAACTCAACAACAAGGTACTCACAAGGGAAAGACAGAAAACTTATAGGAAAAGGTTTTGTTTGTTCTAAAGAAGGGTTTAGGTGTGCACCAAAAGTTATAAAAACACCACCTCCATCAAATGAAAAGAAAAAAAAGAAAACACCAAGTATCTATTACCAGGACTGGCTAGAAGGGCATTCATTAGAGCAGAAACAAATAAAGATGGAATGTTTCAAGTAGAAGAGCATGTTATGGCACATAACCACGAGTTGACAAGAAGTGTCTGGCAACATCTACACAAATCAGGGAGAAAAATAACAAAGGACAAGGCTAAAGTCATTGATCTAATGGCAGAGAGTGGATTAAGAACAGCAGAAGCATTCAGATTATTAAGTAATGAAGCAGGTGGGCAGGAGAATGTTGGACACACTATGACTGACCACTACAATTACATTTCAAGAAAGAAAATGAAAGAAATTCAAGGAGGTGATGCACAAGCTGTGATAGAAGGATTATACAAAAGGCAAGCAGAAGATAGATATTTCTTTTTCAGGTAAACCCTCCTGAGCGATAACTTAAGTAACCATTTTTTTAAGTAACCCCTGTTTATTAACAAATAACTCCTGTTGTTTTTCAGATTTAAGTTAGGAGGAGGTGAAAACCAAAACAAACTTAATGCTATTTTTTGAAGGGACTCTGAAATGAAGGAAGATTTTCAAATTTATGGAGACGTTGTAATATAAGACACCACATATAGGACAAACAAATATAACCTTATTTGTACCCCTATTGTTGGTGTCAACAATCATTGGCAGAATGTTATGTTTGGTTGTACTTTTATTGCTGATGAGAAAATCGAGACATTTGAGTGGCTGTTATCCACATTCAAGAAATCAATGGATGGAAGTGAACCTGCCTCTATATTCACTGATCAAGACATGACTATGTCTAAAGCAATTGAAAAGGTAACCTCAAAACTTGTATTATAAGTTTATAACTAAAGTAACCCTTATAACTTAAGTAACCTGTAATACCCTGTATTTTTATACATATTTTTAACTTAAATTAGTATTTTGTTAAAGTATTTAAATAATTCGAAATGAATTATTTATGGTGTTTCATTAATTTAAAAGAATTATTTTAATTAAAAGTTTATTTTAAATTATTTAACAATCTTGAAAATATTTTATTTTATGATTTGGAAACTTTGGGTCATATTATTTTATAGAAGGAAATTTTAAAGTCAATGGTATTTGAGGAAAGTCAAAATACTAATTTGAGTAGGAAATGGATCATTAAGGGTAGTAGAGGAATTTTAAGTAGGAGGGTTATTGAGAAAGGGTATAAATACCCATCATTTGAGCAAAATCAAACTTTGCCCAAAGTGGAGAATACCCAAAGGTAAACTCTCTCTCTCTCCTCTTATTTTCTTTCCCCTTAATTTTTCCCCTTCCCATTTATTTTAATTTTAAATTTTTTCACCACCACCACCACCACACACACCACGGTGGTCGGCTGCCACCACCACAACAATCGGCCGCCACCGCCAGCACAGGGCCGGCAGCAGCAGCAGCCGTGGGAGGTGGCGCCAGCCACCCTCCCTTTCCCCCTTGTGCGTGCATGTGTTTTGTATTAAAAAAAAAATTCTTCTTTTTGATTTTTTAATTTAATCCACCATTAATCTAATTATTGTTTTGGGTTTTGTGATGATTTTTATGATATTTGATAATAAGTATTTTGTATATAAATTTTCAGATTTGGTTTTAAATTAAAAAACCCCAAATTATAAACCCTAGGTTTCTAGGTTTATGTATATTGATGGAAATTGTTTATGGGTGATTTAAATTATTGAAATAGGTGTTTTAAAACACAATTACAGTAATTATAGATGATTTAATAAAGCTGTAATTTTTGTATATAAGCTACAATTATGTTTCTTGAAAGGATTTTTTATTACCCATTAATTGGGAATAAAAGCAAGGGTTTTAAAGTAAATTTCAGCTTGTTTTAGAGGGTTTATGAGTGATTTAAGGAGTGTATATATTGTTGGAATAGGTATTAATACCTCTTTGTAATTCTGGTTTGTAGGAGGATTCCAAGTGAGTGACTTAATTTAGTCGTGGCGATTTTGAGATCATATTCAAGGTACGTTTGCGTACTTGGTAATTATTTGAATATGTAGAAACATGCTAGGCTTTGATAAATTAATTCCAAGTAGTATCATGATAGGTGTTGGTTGGAATTTGTTGATTGGATTCATGTTGGTGAGTGATTTGTGACATATGAATTAGTTGTGATGAATTGGTGATTGGAATTAATTATGTTGGCATGTTAAATATGAACCACATTTTATTATTGGCATTATTGAGAGCATGTTTAATTAAACTAAGTGTTTGATTTGGTTTGGAATATTAAATAGGAATTTTATTATGATTCATATAATTTTTATTAATGTTATAAGCATGAGGAAGGAGCTATTTAAGTGTCTATGTACACGAGAATTAAATTATATTTAGGTACCTAAGTGCACTTAAGGTGTTCTAAACACCGAGGGATAGGATTTGTGGTGTTTTATGCGCTTAAGGTGTTATTTAACACCGAGGTAGTTTAAAAAGGATTCAACATTCAAATTTATGTGGTCACTAATGATTCAAGAATTAAATTGGTATGTATGATTGCTTGAATGAATTATAGTGATTGATTGTATTATGGTTTGAGAGTCATCACCAAGTCTAAAAATATGTAAACAACGTAAAGAGAAAGAGATTACGCACCAAAACTCTTGGAACGTATATACCTTGAGTATGAACATATGGGGGGGGAGTTATGCAACTTTATATTTGACCATAACTTCTACTGGGAGTACAGGACGTTGTATATTCCTTTTTATTATGCGCAGGGATTTCGCCACTTACGAGTGGTTCTTTTATATTGGTACGGTTAATTCCCGTGTTAGTACACCTTTACTGGAGCAGGTTAGGAGAAAACCCGTTTGATGCGTAATCAAATTAAATGGACATTGATATTTGTCTAGTTAAGTGTTGAATGTCTTGTATGCTTGTTTACAGGTGCAACAAGGTAAATTGTGTGATGATAGGATGGAAGCATGTTAATGTGTTTTATTACGCTTATGTACTCAGCATTGCTGATTGTGTGTTGTGTGTTTGTTTGGCCTTGTCTTTACCTTGGCCCTACGATGACCCATTTCTAATAGCGAGTAGTATGGACAAGTAGAGAGAAGTTTTTCAGGTGATGAAGCATTTTCATAGTGGGCATGAGTGAAGAGCGAATCATGCTTAGTTTCCATAGGAATATGATGTGTTTTATTTGCTTTGAATATTATTTATTTTATTATGCTCATGAGACTAACGCAAAGGTTTTCGATATTGTTTGGTTCTAAGGGCCTACAATGGTTCCAAGTTGTAGGTTGACTTTGTTTGACTTTGTTTGATTTTACTTTCGTTTGGTTTGACTTTTAAGTTGACTTGTTTTGAATGGTTTTAAAGAAAGTCTTCCGCTGTGGGTCTTTGATATTTGCCTTAGTCGTTTCCATGGTGGCGGTAATGTCTTAGATTTTTCTATTTCGTATTTAAAAAGAAAAGGGCAAAATAGGTATTTTAAAGGAAAGGAATTTCTAGGGTGTCTCTTTCTCTTTCAAGTATAATGATTCTATATCTGGTTCTTTGGTTCCGACTAGGGTCTTCTTTAGGGGGACCCTATATCTCCGTATCTGTTCTTAATTTGTGTTGAGGCATTCTCTACTCTCCTTTCTAAGGCGGCTAGAGACAATGTGATTCATGGGGCTCGGGTTTGTCGAGGGGCTCAAAGGGTGTCACATTTATTTTTTGCCGATGACAGTATTCTATTTGCGAGAGCTACTTTGCAAAAATGCTCTAAAATTGCTGATATAATCAGTATATATGAATGGGCATCGGCTCAGAAAGTCAATTTAAGAAAAACAGAGGTGGATTTTAGCAAATGTGTGAGTGTAGAAAGAAGGGGCGCTATAGCTGAGACCCTTGGAGTCAGAGAGGTAGATAGACATGAAAAGTACTTGGGGTTGCCGACGATCATTGGAAAGTCCAAAAAAGCGGTTTTTGCTTGCTTGAAAGAACGGATATGGAAGAAGTTGAATTGCAAGGATGGAAAGAAAAGTTGTTGTCTCGACCGGAGCAGGAGATTCTCAGTAAAGCGGTTACTCAAGCGATTCCTACTTATATAATGAGTATTTTCAAGATTACCGATGGTTTGATTGATGAAATTCACCCTTTGCTAGGCAAATTTTGGTGGGGTTCGAATGATTCGGAGAGAAAGATGCACTGGCACAAGTGGGATGATCTTTGTTTGCCGAAATCTAAAGGTGGTTTGGGGTTTAGGGATCTACGGGTCTTTAATCATGCCTTACTTGCGAAGCAAGGATGGCCCTTGTTAAATGACAATTCCTCACTGTTGCATTGTATCTTGAAAGCTCGTTACTTCAAGCATTCGGATTTTATTGACTCTCAAAGGGGTATGACCCGAGCTATAGTTGGAGGAGTATTTGGGGTGCAAAAAATTTACTCCTTGATGGCTTGAAATGGCGGGTAGGTGACTGTTCGAGCATTAAGGTGTGGGATGAGGCATGGCTGCCTGGGGATAGTTCTTATGTGGTTCCTTCGCCAATCAGTGGGAGCAATCCAAACTTGAAGGTTAGTGATTTAATTGATAATTCGTTGCACTGCTGGAATGATTTGATGCTTGTGTCAAATTTTTGTGCCATGGATAGGCTGTGCATTCTGGATCTTCCTCTCCCTCATACTGACCAAAGGGACTCTCGGTTCTGGTGGCCTACAAGGGATGGAGTTTATACAGTGAAGAGTGGATATTGGTTGGGTCGAATTGGCAGGTGGAGGGCTTGGGACTTTTTTCATGGAGAAAGCACTAATTCTCTATGGAAAATGATTTGGAGTATTGGAGGTCCCCCTAAGCTTAATCACTTCTTGTGGAGTTCGTGTAAAGGTTCTCTAGCATTTATGGGAGAGCTTTATAGGCGACACATTAGATATTCTAAACGGTGTCCTATTTGTGGCAACGATGAAGAGTCTATTCTACATTCTCTTTTTGAGTGTATTTATGCTGTGAAGGTGTGGGAGAGAAGTATTTTGGGGTCCTGCTTGCTGAGGCTCCGACGAGCTCTTTTGCTGATAGATTGGTTTGGATGGCAAACAAGGTGAATAAGGAACGACTAAGCATTTTTGCATCACTGTCTTGGGCTATTTGGCATTGTAGAAACACACATATCTTTGACAGTGCTGCTAGCCTGGATGCTGTAAGAATGGGTGCAGGATTTGTGAAGATGTTTTTTTATTACTGCACATACAATGCGAAAGTCCTGCCAGCCAGCAGAAATGGTGCTGCTCCAGCTTTGAGGGGCTCGTGGTGCCCTCCCCCTGGTGGTCGTGTGAAAATTAATGTCGATGCTCATGTTTTGCAAGGGCGTGGCATCAAGTTTGGGGCTGTGATTAGAGGGTCTGGGGGGGCAAATTTTGGTGGCTGTTGTGAAGCATATTGAGGCTCGTTGGAGCTCTGAAATGGCAGAGGCGGGGGCTGCTCGCTTTGGGCTGGAACTTGGTCGAAGGCTGGGGTATGGCGAGGTGATCCAGGAATGTGATGCGCTGCAAGTTGTTCGGGCTATTCAAGCAAAACAGAAGGGTGCTGCTCCGATCTTTCTTTTATTTGAGGATGTTATTAATTGCAGTAATTTCTTTAGTTTCTTTCAATGTAAGCATGTAAGAAGAGGAGGGAACTCTTTAGCTCATTTGGTAGCACGTTGGGCGACGGATCCTAACTCGGAACTTATTTGTACGAACTCCTTTCCCCAAAGCCTTCAAACTTTGGCGGAAATTGATCTAATATAATCATGCTTACTTGACTTCAAAAAAAAATCGTGTATGTCAACAACAATTAGGAAAAATGTTAGGGGCCGTTTGGTTTGCGCGGGGGAATCGGAATGGAATGTAGGAGAATGGAATGAAACCCTTTCCAAGTACTGTGTTGTTTGGTTTTCAATAAACAAAGGGAATCACCATCACCACCACACATCCCCTTTCTTCACTTTTCCAGCCACCAGGAGCCACCCCATCGCCCAACCACAACGTCGACGGAAATCGGCAGCCCTGGGCGCACCTCCCCCACCCCTCGCAGCCCCTAACCTCCCCGGAAAAAACTTCCACCACCACGCAAAAACCCTAGAAAACACCATCCCTCCCCTTAAAAACGCCGGCCAACCTTCCCCCTCCCTCAAAACCCTAGCCGCTAGGGTTTCGAGGGTGGGGGGAAGGTCGGCCGACGTTTTTAAGGGGAGGGATGGTGTTTTCTAGGGTTTTTGCTTGGTGGTGGAAGTTTTTCCGGGGAGGGGAGGTGTTTTCGAGGGGAGAGGTGGGGGAGGTGCGCGGGCTCCGGCGAGTTGTGGGGGAAGTGCGGCGAGTCCGGCGGTGGGGACTAGGTCCGTGGCGAGGTGGTTGGGCTAGTTCCGGCAAGTACAATGGTGGTGGGTATGGTGGCTAGGGAAAGGGAATGGGAAAGTCTGGGGGGGTGGGGAATCAATGTAGACTAAAAATGGGTGAACTCAAAAATAAAAATGGGTAAAGGGAATCAAAAAAGTGTCAAACAAACAACAACAAAGGGAATGATATCAGTTCATTCCGATTCCCTTTGATTATTAACCCCAACCAAACGGCCCCTTAGTATATTGATGATGAGGATAAGAAAAATACCTAAAATGGGATCCTTCCCTTAGACTTATAAGAAGTGAAGTATTATTTTCATCTTAGAGAAATAAGTTCAAATAAGAGCTAAAAGTTTTGAGTAATATTGATAGTGCCTTAGTTTGATTCAAAGTTACAATAATTTCAAATAAGTTCACATTAGTTCCAATAAGCATTACTTCTATTTTCTCATAACAATTGCACATAGTGGCTTTGCTTATGATTGCCTTCCTATATCGAGGCACAATCTTGACTCAGATTTATCAACGATGCCAAAGTGTCAAACCATATGTTACAAATTCTCAGTAGAGACCTACAATACAATCGGTGTAAGCGAACTTAGGGGAGAAAAATAAAAAAGTATATTACCAAATCTTCAACCTTATAGACAATTTTTTTTTAATGATAATAGAAATAAATTGAAAGGAACTAAATTCATGTAAGTTGTGGGAGAAAAGACTCTTACAAAAGGAGAGGACTTATTTGAAACCTAAAAAACAATAATCCATCAAAACTAAAAAAAACAAATTATTGGGGTCTATCACCGATAAAATGTAGGAAACCCGGCCCCTGCATAAATAATTGAGAGGACTAAAGTATTGAGTATGTGGAATAAATCTATTAAGGAAAATTATATGACTGGGAAAGTAGTAAATTACCACTATTGACGTGATGGTTCGAACCAATAAATGAGTGTATTGAAATTTTATGTTCGATTAGCTGAAAACTTTGCAACTTTTTCTTATGCGAAGTATTTTAATTACCTCACCAATATCTTTTTCTTCCTAATATTTAGTTAGAAGTGTTAAGTTCTTAGCTTTAAAAAACTATCGATCGGTCAAAGTAATTTTTTTTTTTTTTTTTTTTTTTTTGGGGTGAAGGTCAAAGTAAATTTTAACATACAACTAAGCATTTAAGTACAAACAATTGTTGAAGTAAAATAGATTGAATAATACCCGTATTTGTGGTACCCCATAATTGTGATAGCTTTTACAAATACCATTCCATAATAATAGTATGTATTAATGTATAATTATCAAACACACCTAGAAGTAAACAAATGAAACAAGTACAAGTATGTAAAATAAAATCACTACTTTTGTTTAAGCTTATGAAAGAGTATTGTATCATGAAAAAAAAAAAAAAAAAGAATAAGCAAGATATATAGATAATAACTATTGCATATGATAAATGTTACTCTGTACTGTAACGATTACACTTTCCATAGAATAATTTTGCCTATTTTGTTATTGTGATTTATTACAATTCACAAAATAAAAATTAGGCAAATATGTGATTAAATCGAGGGTACATAATATTGTAGACCGACCATTGTATTATTTATATAAATGTAGAATAGATCATCATTAAAATTAAAGGTGTGTCTTCAAATGTCTTCATCGGTGCAAAATAAACGAGTAAGTTGCAGGAGAAGCATTAGAGAGGTCAATATAATGTGGTTTTTACAACCTCCTTCCACCACAACCTCCTTCCCTTTGACAATTGAAATAGACAGCAGCAACTGGTAAGCCAAGGTTGTAGAGTTCAGCAAAGTCTCTTGTGATGAAATTCGGGCGCCACCCGGGAGCATAAACAGTTTGCCTTCCGAGTTGTTGAAACAATACGAACACGAATCGATGTATTCCCTGGGATGGCCGTGGGCTCTCATAACAAACCACCTCTTGACCTAAACAAAGAATAGTAGATAAAAAACCTTGAGTGAGTATTGATCATCCAATGCAATGACAAACTAAATAATTGAGAGTCTATGATAAATGCACTTGTGGAATTGTGTGATGAACCCTAGCGGCCTAGCTAGCTTAGCCGACCATGTGCACCACACATCTTGTTGGTTACATGCATTACACAAATATATTTATTTAAACTTTTGTCTAGCATGAAGGTCATCACCACCTATTAGTTTACCAAAAAAAATCTTTCCTCACATTCAAAATACAGGGCCCATTTCAGTAGATACTCGGTAAAAAAAAAAAAAAATACAAATTAATCCTCTCTTTTCGTCCCTTAATACTAATTAACCGCATGCAATTCGAGATTTATAATTATATACCCCTACTCTAATATGACAAGAGGACCAGAGGAGTGCACACGCGAGTGATCAATAATTGCTAGGAACGAACATAAATGAATACCCATATGTTCAACTCATTATTGGTACAAAAGAAACAAAAGAGAGGGATTGGAAGTTTGGAACTACTCAGCTCGTTCCTTTGGCTATAATAGTCAACTTGTATCATTGATCTTGTGCAAAAAAGAACTATAAATACAAACTCCCTCATAGTTACACAAGCAGAAGAAATAACCTAATAAGGCAAAAACACAACTACTTGTAATACGTTTATCTTTCATAATTATGGACTTAAACATATAGTAGTAGAAAATTAGAATGCATAAACAGCTAAATATCCAATTATATTCATCTCTCTCTATCTTTCTCCTCAATCTGCACTTGTTAGTTTCAGACTTTATGTCTTTCAGACAGGATGCAACATAATCGCAAAATGTTTCATGCACCAGCACCAGACCATGGTGCTAACGGTACGTTTTAGTCGCTCATACGATGATACTCTTAGGTGCATTATATAATGTATGCTTAATGAAGGATGGCATAAGAAATCCACATTATTAAATGTGCATGCAATACTATGCTATGCATCTGAACTAATTGTTGATGATTAAGGAATTGAAACTCACCAAAGGTTGCTCCAGTGGTCCCAGGAATATCAGTCACCAGCCTTATATACAAACAAAATTCAACTAGTTAGCAACCATTTAGTACTAATTATTGTGACCTGCAATTCAATTGCATGCCGCCAATTATATATGTGTGCCAAATTCATCAAGCTAGGCAGTATTTTTGTAAGATTTTGATCCAATGAATTGACTTTTGAACTGAGTTTTGAGACCATATATATATAGCTTGAATCCATGTTCATTTTATATTAGAATCATTAGACTTGTGAAGAGTCGATTCAATAGGTCCTGTGCAATTATATATAATCGAAAATCTTCTTAATCAAATCATTTAAAATCGAGTTCTTGAAGGAGCTAATTAGATATAGAGGTCTTAATTAGAAATAGAGGTCTTGTTAGAATCGAACCTCTAGAAACCATGCAGAACAGTTTGGTCATTAGTCAATAGAAAGAGATCATTTGCATTATATATGACTGACGACTATTATTATTCCATTTTTATTTTATAATTTGACTAGGTATGGGCCGGGTTTTGGGCTGCTGCATACCCCATGCTCGTCCCCCAACACCTCCACGAGGGCTCGAACTCGTGATCAATTGGCTCCACCTTGAGACTTGACTCGACTATTACAAGTACCATTTTCATTGTCACAACGCAGTAGACTCGAATATTTAATATGCTTCTATGCATGGTTGTAACTTGCAACTTGCAAAATGCAACATATATATTCCTTTATGTCATGAGTGAGTAAGAAGTGAGCATGCATGACTAGGGTTTTAACTTTTTAGAGCTTAATGAACGAGATTTCAGAAGAAATATTACCTCCATCACATCACTAGAAAAACTATATAATCTGGATATTGAGAACTTCGAGAGTTTTTAGTTAGAAGTGAGCATGCATGACTAGGCTATGGACTTGTCCTAGTCCTATTAGACTTAGAATTAGTTAGAATTAGTTTTTAGTCTATAAATAGTTTTTAGGACTAGGACAAGTCCATAGCCTTTAGCCCCGAGTAACTCAAATAGGAAAACTAATTCTACTTAGATTCAGAAACTAATTCCAATTCTACTTAGATTAGGAAACTAATTCTACTTAGTCTATAATTTCTAAAATAAATAAAATTAATACTAAGTGCTTAAACCAAGAAAAATCCTTTCAAGTGAAAGGTAAAAACTTCCAAGCAAAAACTAATTAAAAACCACTAAGTAGAGTAAGTAGAGTGATCCGGAACTTGAGCTTGTACTAAACACCAAGTTCCTTAGCTTGAACCGTCCAAGAACCGCCAATTTGTAGCTTCTAATGAGTTAATGTTCAAGTTTAGGTTTTCCTTGTAAGGATTTAACAAACTCTCGAAGTTCTCAATATTCGGATCACTATAGTATTTTATCTTAAAACAAAGAATTATTGTATAAACTGAAAGAAAATGGTAGTAAAAATTGAAATATATGTGAAAGTTGTCATAGGTCGGTCTACTTACCAGTGCAAATACTCCCTAAGATGTGGGTTACTTGGGCTAGGAGCATCAGGATCTACCATTACCTATATATAGAAAGGACCAAATTCAGAAATGAAGACCGATCAAAGAAAGAACAACAATTAATTTAATGCACGGGATGTTTATATATATTAAGGGGTCACATCGACTTACCAAGGTGTAGAAAGTCCTAAGGTCATCGCCTCCAACCTCGACCCTAGGCTGACTATCAACTTGAGAGGGCCTAAACTCACCTCCAGTAGTAACAATACGATTGTTATAGCTGACTCGGAGAGTTACAGACCTGTTGAAAGGATCCAATACATCTCCAATAACGCGACCTATTTCTAATGGATCTCTTGGTGCACTTGTTGAAGCTGTTCTAGGCATTATTAGTTATATACTTATATCCTCACTTTAACTTATATAATAAGCTAGCTGACTACCTAAGTATATATGTAGAGAAATTATGAACTTGGACAAAATAAGTCATCCAAGTGTACACTTATATACTGTTTTTTTTTATCTTACCTTAGCTTAGCTTTTCATGTTGGGATGTTCCATCAATTAGTAAACTATATCTAGGTAGTTTTCAGCATAACTCTTACTGTCTATCAAAATACTAAGGTCCACTTACTTTCCATAAATTGTAAGTGATGGACCAGCTGTGATAGATTCTTCTTAGTAGAATTTAAGTCGGTTCAGAAACCTAAATAAACATGCGGAGGTTCTAATAAAAAAGCTCGACTTTATTAAGGTTTGTTTTTTTATCTCCTCAATTAAAAATGTAAACGTAACTATATATGATCTTCTCGATCTTTTATTTAAAAAATTTACCATATAACGGTTGTGTTGTATTTGGTGGTCAGTCACAAGAGAAAACTAGAATACCATTTTCTTTTGGTGGTATGTACTAAAATTACATAACCTACCCCCCCCCCCCTCAAAATTAAAGTTTGTTTTAATTTTTTTTTTCTAGATACATGTTGTTTTTTACAATATTTATGCAGTCTCATCCTTATAATCAAAATATAAAGTGTTAAAAGATAAAGTTTTATGCCAAATCTTACCCCTTTTTCAACTTATATTGTTTATTCGAATATGGGCAGATGTGTCATTTTATATGATCTTTACACCTATACAACATTTAGATAGTGTTTGACAATTGGTTTAAAAGGACTACTTGAAAAGTAAAAGAGTGAGTTTTTTTTTTAATGAACAACCATAGTAATAGTAACAATAATAAAAATAACTAAAACTAAATAATTTAGTCTAACGACTTATGCCAAAACAAATAGTTGGTCAAACCCAAGTAAAACACCCAATAACCAATATCTATTTCAAAATACCAACTTAATCTATCTATGATCCAAGGATGTAAAGTACGAAGTAGTTGATTAATGCATCACGTTGCACTTTGTCAACGATAAGACGATTGCATAGGATAGATTATGTGCGGCTTGTGTGCCGTACTAAATAACCTCCCACAAATTGAGAGAGTTTTTAAATTTGTGAAACTCAAAGAAGAGAAAGAGAATTCTTATTTTTGAGAATTCTCATATTATTGATTTTTTTTTTTTTTTTTTTGGTATTAATTTGGGTAGTGGAAAGTGATTTATTGAATCTAATCATAAGTTTGAAAAATTGACAACAATGTTGGGTCTTAATTTAGGACTCCTAGCAAACTTACTTTCATACTAATTTATCGATTAACCATCATCGTTAATTAATGGCGGGTAAAAACATGTATAAAGTTGCAATTTAATCATTCTGCTCGAACAAAAAATATACTCCGTATAATTAATGACTATCTTAAATGAGTACATCATAGCCCAAAAAAAAAAAAAAAAAAAAAAGAAAAAAAAAAGTGTACACCTGATGAGTATTACATGTTAACTTTGTAATATCCTTTGTTGGAGCAAGAGCGAAGCTGGAGCCGAACCAGCCGATCGAGTGGGCTTAGCTAAGGCGGGCACGGGCGGCTTGTCCGAGCGGGTGGATCTTGAAGCGAAGCAGGTGCATGTTAATGAGGCTTGTTGCTAAGGCGGGCACAGCTGCACATTTTTGTTTAGTTCATTCTAGTTTCTGGGCATGATTGTTTAGAAAAGTAAATGATGGTTTTGTGAATTTACTACTAGGAAATTAAGTTGAACAAAATCCCTCAACTAACTTTCCTAGTGTACTAGGTGTCGTGTCATGCTATGGGAGGTTAATGATATGTGTTGATTTCCTAAAGTGGATTTGTAGGCCAATCTATAAAGGCCGTTAGAAACTTAGAATTTCGTATTATTATTATTATTATTATTATTATTATTATTATTATTATTATTATTATTATGTTGAAAAGTAGTGAAATTTGCTTTGAGAGGCCTCAAAGATTAACTATGAGAGAGCTAAGTGTGTAGCTAATTGTTGATTTATGTGTAAACCAAGTTTAAGGACTGTATTTCTCAGACCAAGTTGATGGATCGTCGTCAACTTTGCTTGTTGTCCTTGAATTAGGAAAGTTTAGTTTTGGCGTTCTCGATAAACTAGTTGTATTTTATTATTCTTTTATTTTTTTTTTTACTTTATTGGTTTTCCCTGAGCTAGGAGGACATTTAATTTACATTATTTTATAGAAATTTCTATTGTTTATTTCTCCACTAGAATTTTATACTTTTGACTATTGAAAAATATCGCTACTTTTCGTAAGTATTTCAACAAAATTTGCATTGACTCATCTAAAACATAATGTTATTTTACCTAAACTATTTGTTTTTTTTTTTTTAAGAATACCTAAACTTCTTTTTAACTAAAGAAAACATAGACAAATTAAATTAACGTGCACTTAATCATTGTGGCAAGCGAAATCCTTTCACTTATGTTAGCAATGAGATCAAACAACACCTTCTAGGCATATCCATCATAAGAAGAGATCTAAAAAAACTAACATGTAAATTTTCCAAGTCCAAACAATGTATGTGTAAGTATAGTACATTTCCAAAATAATTAACTTCACCATATGAGGCCTCAAGTCATATCAAAAACACAAATCAAGCATAAATTTCATCAGCATGAACACCAAGAAAAGAAAAGATTTAAAGAAAAAAAAAAAAGTTGATAATACATGCAAAAATCTCTAGAACCAATCAAAAAGAATTAGTGACAAACTTTATTCCTTTTCCCTAAATTAGTCTATCAGAATACTAACAGCTATTGGTAAATTTCCAATTCTATACAAATTTAACTAAAAGAATTAGTGACAAACTTTTATTCCTTTTCCCTAAGCTAGTCTATCAGAATACTAACAGCTATTGGTGAATTTCCAGTTCTATACAAATTTAACTAAAAGAATTAGTGACAAACTTTATTCCTTTTCCCTAAGCTAGTCTATCAGAATACTAACAGCTATTGGTGAATTTCCAGTTCTATACAAATTTAGCTAAAGATAATTATGCGATGGCTAATTTATGCTAATTTGATGGAGTTTTTAAGATAAAACAAGAGTTCTAACCCGATTTTATACTTTTCTTCATATTACATTAAACAATTAGGCCAAAAGTGTGATATATACATTGAATAATTAAAGGTAACGCCTCTTATTAAGCAGGAATTTATCAATGGAATATGGCTAATTGCGTGGGAAATTATTAGTATATTTGCAGACGTATAATATTGAACATACTCTATTTTACTGAACATACTCTATTTTAAATTCTTAACTATATGTTCATATGACACCAAGATGAGCTAGTGATAGGCGGTCGCACACCCACAAAAATAATAAAAGCCTAACTAATCCTCCTAATATGTAGTAGGGTAAGTCAGGGTCAATCCCACAGAAAAGGTATTATCAATATTGGGTTGCTATGAATAATAATAATTGAGTCAAATAAATATAGGGTTGGAATTATTATACTATTACTAACAAAAGAAAATCAAATAATAAAAACATTTAGAATTAAGTATCACCACTAGCATAATCAATACAAAACAAATTCTTACCCTAATCAATCAATTATATGTTCACAAAGAAAGGCACACCCTATACAGTACCAAAGATCTCTCCCGAGTTGTCAATGGCTTCCTTAATTAACAATTAAACCTACTTCCGTGGAATCATGCAAATTAAAGACATTAAGTCCAACACTCTAACTTCCTAACAATCCATTCTACCTACCTCTATGGAGAATTTCATACCCTTAATTTATCTATTCAAATCCGTCAAAACTCAACTTTTGTTACGGTCAAGACAATGGAATAATAACAATACCAATTATCCCTAATCTAGTACTGGCATAAGCACAATCAATTAAGCATGAACAATATAAACAATTAATTGAGAATTTAAAGAATAAATCAAGTATCAATCATGGCTAGGATTCAACCTAACCCTAGAATAAAATACTACTCAAACATAATTAATTAAAAGATTAAAGGAGGATAACAAACTCTAAAATTTCTAATCAAGTGGATGGTTGCTTGCGGCAGAACCCCCTTTCTTAACCCCTAAAAATAAGTTATATATAAGCATTAGCATTAAGGAAGTAAAGTGGAATTAGGAGTCTTCAAAGTCGGCAAAAACTTATCCAAAACGCTACATTGAAGCTAGCCACGACCTTCCCGTGGCCATTGAAGTCGAGCCATGGCCTACCCGTGGTGTTTACTACATTGGTGTATTTTTCTTGAGCACAAACGGAGGAGCCACGACCAACCCAAGGCTTAATGCAACAAGCCACAACCAAGCCAAGGCTAAGCAATTTCCACACTATGCTCATGCAAATGCAACTTCAAGCTTGGAATGTGATCATATGATGTTAAACTCATAATCTTCTAGATGCTCCTAACTCAACTTAGTTTGCAAATGCGCTCTTTTAGTCATAAAATCCTACAAAACAAAGAAAGAAAGCACGAGGAGAGCAATATCGAAATATAAAGAAAAATAGCTCTAAAAGATTAAATATATAGAGAAAATATGATAGAAACACTCAAATATAACATATAAAAATGAGTATATAAATGTGTTATCAAATTCCCCCACGCTTAACATTTGCTCGTCCTCGAGGAAAGAAAATAAAACTAATCTGGAACCTAGAACGTAATAAATCCTAATACTCACTGTCATAGGAATCACGATTGCATTTAGCATATGCAATAAGCCTTTTAAACCCCTATGCTGCTCCAATGGACGAGTATGGTCTCGTGAAGGTTTTCAGAAGGCATACCCACAAAGCCTAAATAAAAAAAATAAAAAAAAAAAAACAAATTAAAAAAAACTAACGACTAAACTAACTTAAAACAGCTAAAATACGTTTAGTTATTTGTTGACTACTCCCCCACAATAAATCTTTGCTTGTCCTCAAGCAAAACACGTCAAAACAAGTGATGAATTCCTGAAATCAATAAGATCATCCAAGTGAGAAGCATTAAAATTAAATTAAAAATAAAAACATTTTGTTCATAAACTTTAGTATCACAAGCCAACAAGCATGGATGAAATATTAGTTTAATAGCACCTTTAATGGCCAACCAATCTTACCGCTTCCTTCCCCCAAGCTTGAATTTTCCTTAGGGATGCTCAACCATATTAGCTCATGATTTGATGACCCTCGTCAGGACTTGCACAAAATCTCGCCCTCCACCGTTTTTGGACCAAACCACATGATGAAGATCAAGAGGACTTTTAAAGGGTGGGCTAGGGTGATAAGCTGGGAAAATGTTATTTGGGAATGTGGTGATAAGAAAATAAACTAGTGGAGGAAATAACACAAAACACCTTCGACCGTGAGATATAATAGTTACCAAAGTTCCAACTAGAAATCAAATAACATATTTCTAAACATCAACAAATCTTATTTTTCATCTTCCACCCTTCCATTCAATTTTTCTCATTTTTTCAATTTTTTTTTTTCATTTTTTTTTTCAAATATTTTTCAACATTACATTTTTTTTTTCTTCTTCTTCTCACTATTTTTCATCACCTTTTTATTTTTTTCTTCTTTTTTTTCACATATTTTTCGACATTACATTTTTTTTTCTTTCAACTTCCACTTGAATAGCATATTATTATAAAATAATCTTGAAAATAACATCCACTTTTCAATACTTGAAGTCACGGTAAAACCACGTGCTTGTAACGTAAGGTAGTAAAGAAAATAATGAAAGCTCAACATGGCTGATAAGAGGTAGATGTGAAAATAAAAAGAAAAATCCTAATGATGTAATCTGAAAGCTCTAAACAATAAGAAGAATTGTCTCTATCATGTCCTCCAATGTAATTTAGTCATCAATCTCAGGAAGCTAAAATGCAAGTCCCAATTTAGGCAATCAAGAAGGAGGAAAAGTGATAGGGAGTCTTACGAGGTTTGTGGCCCTCCACTAAGGCCTCATCGCACAAAGGGAAAGAGAATCCATCTTACCACAAACAAGCATTACCAATAAAGGATTTATCCCATCTTACATAATCAATCAATCCAATGGCAATCAACTTAAGGCAAAACAAAGAAATATAACTTTATTTAAAATAATTACTCGATTCACAAATTGACTTGGAAATTCAAATAGGACAAGGACGACGTCTAATACTACATGGTATAAACAAATTCTTCATTCACACTAATCAATTTAAACCAAAACAAATTGCAGAAAGAGATTATTTCTCACAAACTTGAAAATATAGAGAGAGGAAAGAGTATACCAATGGTGTGGTGGCTGAAAACCCGCAAGTGAACCTCTTGAAATAAGATCAAGCGCCTAGAAATTAATCGCAATGAACCATAGGAGGTGCTCTTCTTAGATCATCACTTGCATAAAAGCTAAAAGTTAGTTTTAATTAAAGAAAAAAAAAACTATAATCTAAAACAAAAAAAAGGACAAAATGTTAGTAAACTTGGGTCGCCTCTTGAAATAATTCATCAAAGCCCTTAGAAGCTTGTCAAATGCATCTGCATGCATCTCACAAAATATTAGATAGGAAAACAATAAAGACAAAATATACAAAATACTAAAGACTCTTCTAAAAATACAAAAAGAAAAATAAGACTCAAAAGAAAAAGAAAAATTACTTACAACCTTATTAGACTCACTTGGAAAAACAAAAGAAATATTTACATTAATTAAATCCAA